AGGGGCTGAATAATACCTGGAACCCAGTCAATACATTCAGAATAATATTGTGTTTTGTTGCTACATCTGTGCTGCGTTGTTGTTAGTCTGTGGAGTTCAGAAAACAATGAAGCAAGCAGACAGAGTGATGTATATCTCCCATGATTATTTAGCACCGCACCAACATTCATTCAGAATGATGTTCAGACAGTCACATCGGAGGTGTCCGGTTGTACTGTGCGTTAAATTCAATTAATGGACATCCTCTAGCCAATCTTAATTGAATTTTCCCCCCAGGCAATGGTACAGTTAGCTGGAAAATGTTAAGCAAACACTACAGCGCAGTAGTGTATTTGGTTATGTAAGTTGATTTAATGTTGATGGAGATAGGAAAAGGGAGCAGTGGAGGCCGTGCAGTAGCAAACAATTTATGTCTTTGTATCCGTGATTAATGATGTTACATGGTAATCATTTGAGTCTTAGTCCTGAATGTGTCCTTTGTTGGTGCATGTTGTGTACATGCCATCTTAAAAAAACAAAATCTGCCATTAGAGAAGGAAGGCTAGCCAGGCTAAATGGACGGTCTGCGAGTGTGAAATACAAAAGACACTGAGTGCTGTAAGGATGTGTGCACTTGTCAGATACGCTGACCTTGATACCAACCAAGCAGCCTGAGGTTTGTACTTCCTCCCTCGCTCACTTTCTGTCTTGACACTCTTATATTCCTGTCAGCCTCTAGGTTTGTCACACACTTCCCAAAGTGTATCTTGTTAAAGGAGACAGAGAGACAGAGGCAACAGTGGGTTGTCCTAAACATGGATAAACAGTGGACGAAGAGACAGAACCAAATGGGTTTGACACTAAACCGAGGCGGCATCTGAAACATGTTGGCATGCCAGATGAAATGGATGGCAAGTACACGAGTCCAGTGAGACGTCTCGCAAAAGTCATCTGCGATTCATGTAGAGAGAGTCGGTTCCCTGTAGATATCTGATTAGTATCCAGCTGTGGACACTGCTGGACAGATTGTTGAGCACTGTCTCCTACATACAGTGCAAATCTGTGGAGGAGACAGAAGTCTGTGTCTGCAGAGGCTTTTTCTGCCTGTTTTTCATCTTCATTTCATTATTCTTATTTTGTCTCCGAATGTTGAGGATGTTTTGGGATGTCCGCGTTGAGCAGGGAAGATTGCAGCTTGCAGCTTGTGAGAGCATGATTATTGAAATTGAAATAGTAGCTTGCAGTTCAGCAAATCATAGCTCTCAATTTATATACATGGGTATATGTTTAAGGTGTGTACACACAGGTGGTATAATCACATTTCACAACTAGAACTCTTTTTGGCTTTAAAGACCAAAGAGGAGGATTTTTTTTTTCATCTGGTTTGTACAAGCTGTTACAAGTTTGTATAAGTTGCTATAAAACTTTAAATTTCTTAAAACCTGCAGTAAGTGTTTCGGCCAATTGGGGGCAGCATAAAGAAGATTTGAACACAACACTGACACGTTATCACCTTATAAAGATGATAAAGTGAACGTGTTGCTTATTTACACATCAAGCAGTAACAGAGGAACATTATTATTCAATTGGAGTGAACCTGATGGAGATATAAGTCCAGTCTTCACTGTCTTTTAGCTCTGTTTTGGGTCTCTACCAACTCCTGAGTGAAATATCAGAGTCTTTACCTGCTGAATGCTTTCATTGTGTTCACCAGCTAGTTAATACATCCATGAATTGTCTCCATTTCCCTCTTGTGTGTCCTCATGGGACATTCTATGACAAGGGTAAATTGTCACAGTTAAACATTTCATTTAATACATGACATTTGAAAAGACCAAAGCTGAACCAGACCGAAGACTTAAAGGTGAACCTCACCGATCCTACACATCAGGCTGTTTTTTTTACAGGTCTCAGGGAGTACTACGGCATATGTGAAACAAGTTGTATAAAGCCTTTTGTGGCACCAGAGTGAGCTGCGCGAAGTCTGATAAATTGTGTCGAGTGATGTCTTGGTTTTGGCTTTAAAAATGGGGGAGAAAAAAAAAAACTAATCTGGTGGTGTGACATTAGAAAGAAAGAACTTCTAGAAGCTGCTCCTCGTTTCTGGTGTTGCTGCATCGATTTTGATCCTTTTAAAAATAAAAAAAAAATAAAAAATCTCCATTGTGAATCCAACAGTGTTGTTCGAGTGCAATGCTAAATCAGTGGAGCACTGTAAGCTCTGCTACTGTGCTGTTCTACTACTGCACAGATCTGCTGGGGTTTGGCCAGTGGGGGGTCCAATGTCAGAAATGTTAAAAATCTTAAGAGGATTATGGGCTTTAACATACAATAAGAAGTTGTTATCAATGAGGAATTCATCTGTGATGTTTTTGAAGTCACATCATGTATTATAACTTTGCAAATGTACATTTAACTCAAGTAACAAACTGATTTGACCTACTTTTTCTAGAACTATATGTCTCCCAAGTTTATAACTTTATAGCTTAGCTCCAATGCGAAGTAATTTGCAGTTTGTCATAAATGAGACAGAGAGGAGGAATGAGACAGAAAATCCCAATGAATATCAATTTGAAATGGCACAAACCAAATTGAAAGAACTCGCAGTCCTAATGCCCACATTTCCACAGGGCCATGCATTTTCAAGTAGGTTTTCATAAGCTAGAAGTTGTTAAGCCTCCGGGCATTTGCTCTGCTGATATGGGTGGCCTTATACTGTATAAAAATAAATGCTGAGGTATGGGAAAGCCCAGTGCATATTCACGCAATCAGCAACTGCGGGAGCGTTGCTGGTAAATTGCATTTCCAAGTCACTGGGCGTAGCCGTGAAAAAAAAAACCCAAAAAAACAACACAAAGCTCAGATAGCCCAGTGGCGTGTCCTGAGAACAAGCAAGGCCAAATGAAAATAGACATCAATTAATGATACTGAAGTGGAAGTGATATCTCTCCTTGCATCTCAGAATATAAATGCATGTTTGCTTTCATCTTGTAATTTACTGACCTCTTGTGGCTGCAGTAGGTTATTGTCTCTGGACCTGGACCTAAAGTTTCTGTCAGTTTCATGGGCGTGGCTGTGTCCTGTGGGAGCAGCATTTTTTGGAAGTTTGCGTCTTGATGACGAATGACTGGTTATAGCTACCTCAACCACAGCATTATTAAACTTAAACTCTTAAGGCATTTAGTTAAAGTTAGGGAAAAAATATGGTCTGGTTTTTAAACAGAAGAGGTTCACAGTGACTTCAGGCGCATGGTGTTTATTTACATTTAACCAAAACCACTCTCTTTCCTTGACCCTAACCAAAGTGTTTTTGTTGCATTCATCCTAAACTCAGCTGGGACTCCGCTGCTGTTAATAAATACAGCACTTCATTCATTCAAAAATAAACTGTTGCCCCTAAACATAATCCAGATGGTATTTGCTTGTTTCACTTTACTTGTAAATGTACTTTCCTGGAGACGGGCTTCCCTTGTGACTTCAGACACAAATGTAGCACGATTTACATTTGACACCACAGCATGACAGGGAAAACAATTTAGTATAACAGAAATCTAATTTCTAGGAGATAGGATTGTCGAGTCCAGTTCCTCCTGCATACTTTATTCAACTCCATCTCAAAGGTAATGTATGAAAGGAGAGACTTATAAAGGGAAACCCACAATCCACAGTTAACCCGGACCCCTCAAAAAATCCCCACATCCAAAACCCTGATTCCAGAGTCGGGAGCCATAGCTGTGCTCTGTTTATGTGCAGTGAAGGAAAAAGAATGCTTGTAATGAGCAGACTCCCAGTGTGAGACCATAAATATTTCTGCATCCATGTAGAAAGATTGTAAATCTGCCTGGTTCTAGTGAGAGTCATTATGTATCTCTGTAGCTGTCCTTTTATTATTTAATAATATATATTATTATTATTATTATCATTGCTGAAGTCCAGTTACATATTATTTCATATTTGATTTTTACAAGAAAACAAAATAAAGTAGTTAAAAATCACATGTCACCAAATGACTTCAAACAGCAGGCCTACATATGTATAACAAAAGAAAATGATGATCAACAGGAACAAAGGAGAGTGATGGAGGTGGAGTACGATGGTGGCTCTGTGAAGAAATTCGTCTCTTATCTCAGACTGCCTTGGTGCACTCACACAGCTTTCCCAACTTTGTCATCTCATTGTGTTTTTCTCGTGTTGCTTTAAGTGAATTTCAGTCTCATCTTGGTTTAGCTAGACAAAGATGTGTCTGTGGACTGAGGCGACTGGTAAAGGCGTTCGTAGCAGGTGGAGGTTATCTGACATGACTGATACGGATGCTGTAGCACATCAGAGAAGCTGACAGTTTCAGACGTTTGTCTCCTTTTTGGTCTTAGATTGAGTCTTGGCCACATCAGATTTAATACTCAATCATCCAAACAGAAGAGATTGTTTGAGTTCACCCGTCAGGACCTGAACGTCTGGTTATCAGGCAGGTGTGGTGTTTGGAAGGAAAACGGGCTCACTCTTGGCACACGGGTCATGTGTCAGTTCAGATGTTTATCTTGTCTCTGAAGAACATGGCAAATTAATTTTGATGAGGCTATTAACTCGCCATCTACAGCGGAGATGGCATCAATCAGCCAATCAGTGTTTGGCTGATTTTCAAGACACACAACTGTCAAGAAGACGAGTACTGAAGCTGCAGCGGACTTTTAATGATACCCACTTACTTTTACAAAAACATGACAGGACAAAAAAAAAGAATTAAGTCCATGGTTAACATAGTGAGAACATTTCCAGGTAAAGGTTTTGTTGTCAACACGGATTAATAGCATTTTGGAAATTAAAGCTTTGGTTATTATTTCCCAAATGATGATGGTGCCAGAAGTGAGAAATGTCATCTGGATATGACGCGCTGTGTGTGTGTGTGTGTGTGTGTGTGTGTGTGTGTGTGTGTGTGCCTGCCTGAGGGGAAGCTCGGCTGGCAGTGTGTTCTTACAAGAGCTGGTTATCATTCCTGAACCTTGTTGTTTTTATCACTGCAGGTCAACAAGACAGAAGACAAGTCCCTGGAGGAACGAGGACGCATCATGATTTCTCTGAAGTACAACACCACGAAGTCTTGCCTGGTGGTGGGCATCATACGCTGCGCTCACCTCGCCGCCATGGACGCCAACGGCTTCTCTGACCCCTACGTCAAAACGTCAGTATTGTATGCAAACAGTTGCAAATACACTCAAACAGGAAATGGGGATGTTACATCATCGACTATAACAACAATAACATGTGGTATGTTTTCAAAATACATTCAGACAGAATGTTAAAGGATAATTACAGTTTATTACAACAACAATAAACTATGAAATCTGGACCCAAGTGATGATGAGCCACAATTACACTGAAGAATCTGACATGAAATTTGTAAATATATAAAACCATAAAAATGAAGAACTATCCAATTGAACTCAGGTTATAGTTAGGAGGGGCGACGAATAATTACTTTCCTAATTTGTCAGTTATTTTCTTGATTAACTGATTTTGGCTGTAAAATGTTAGAAAATAGTCACAAAGAGTCCAAGGTGACTTGAACGTTTTAAAATGTCTTCCTTGGAGAATGACTTGAACAATCCGTCAGTCATCAAAGTATTTGCTGATGAATTATCTGTTGATCAATTAATCATTAACAATTCCAGCTCTGCTGATTATTATGAAATGTTGTTTTATCCAGTTTCTTTTCACAATAACTGAAATTATTGCAGGTCATTTTTATTTCATTCCAGCTGTTTTTAATGTTTTTTTTTTTTTTTTAAAGTGATTTTTTTTTTTTCCCATTATGCCACTTTGATAACAAAATCTCCACAGGGAAGAACCAGTTATGTCAGTGGTGCCCTGCTTATTCAGACCAAAGCAAAAGGCCAATCACGTAACTTGACTTTGTTGTGAAAGTAGCATTATGAAAAAATTTGGGTTATTGCTGTGAAATAGAAACAAACTTTGACAAAGGACAGTTTGAGCTAAAACTGCTGCAATGAAATAAAAATAACCTGCAGTGAACTCTGTCGCATGATAAAACAAAAAAACATATTATAATGCGATGAATTATAAACAATCACATTCCTGGATTATTTCATATTTTAATTGTCATTTTATATGTTTTGTCTGTGTTTACTCATGTTCACACTTCACAGTTAAGTTGATCTTTATTTTGACGTTTTGTTGTGGATACTTCCGCAGCATCTACAACCGGTTACATGGATTCATTGTTTTAAACCAAGGTGCAGGTCAGGGACAAAATCTGACCTTATGATTGCATGGGAGGAAAGGTCACAGGGTCACCAACATTATTACAAATCTGCCCAGAGGCTTCATAAATACTGAAACTAAATTTCATGGCAAATTGACTTTCAGTTGTCAAGACATCTTGCTGTCGAGTAAAGTGTAAGACGGACTCATCGTCTTTCGGGCCGAACATGGGTTTGCTTCACGTAAAACAGCCTGTCCATCGATTCCTCTCGACAGACACTTGTCCTCAGAAACACCGGATGCTCGTCATTATAATGCTATTTTTAGAGGATGTACGACACGATGCAGAAGTGCTGAAATGGATTAGCTGGCAGTGCTGATGTTTTAGCAGAAAAAAAAGGTAAACTAACCGTGATTATCAACAGCATGAAAGACACACAGCACAAGAGGCCATTCACGGGGCTGCGATTTGACGGAGAGTCCTATTTATCACACCTGAACATTTCCCAAGTCTTTCATCTGGCTGAGCAATGAAAGTGCAATTAATTTCCGACTCTGCCGTGCACACCTCGAGAACAAAAGCACAACTCGTTTCGGGAGGAGAGGTGCAGGCAACAATTTTCCAACCGTTTGTGGTTGAGAAAATCTCCCCGAAGCCTGAAGGACACGCTGGCAGATAACAGATTTACTGACTGGCTCATGTGAGAGGGAATAAAGGAAATGTACACCCGTGTCAGATAGACGTGATTGGCTTCTTGTCTCTCACTAGCCAATGTCTAAGCAAGAGTCTATCTGATGCATCAAGTCACAGCTGTCACCTGGACAGAAAAATGCTTCGCTCTATTGTGCTGGTGATGTTGGGAAGATCCTGAAAATGCTCCTGCTGTGTGAATGTCGAATGAAGAGACGCATTAGTTGACAGGATAGTGGAGTACAGGGTGAAATGTGGCAGTGTAGATTCCCTCCTTAATGTCTCTACCGTCAATAACAAGTGCCTTTCATCATGCTTAGATGTAAAAATATTTTTAAAGATCGATGTGTCTTCGGTTTCAATGCACAGCTGCTGAACAAAAGCATGATAATGGGCAGTGCAGCGAAACCGCTGTGATTCACACAGTGAAATAACATTTAAAATCACTGTAATGCACAATAGCATTGTTTGCATCCCGACTTCCACTCTGAGCTCGTTTTGCCTCGGGGTCACTTGTCCTATTACATGACAACAATTAGGTTCGCTGCAATATTCTCATCAACCACAATTTCAGCCCCTCCCCACTCCCCCTGGGGTAAGTTTCCGAATAACAACCCACTTAGCCCCCCTTTAAGTCTCCGTGTTACCTTGGGAAATTGGAGTCTGTGCGGGTCCGGTGAGCACGTAAAAAGGAAAGAGGGATGTGACGAGCCACTGTAATTGCTGACTGGATTGAAATATACCAATATACCACATCAGAATGAACATTATTGCCTAAAACTGTTTTTATTTTATTTATTTTTTTTTGCCCAAATGAACCGAGTTGCTAAACAACATCCATTACACAGGGCTTGATATACAGTAAGTAGAGCCTGCCTTTTGCATCATTTATGAAGGCAGAGCAGAAACAAAGGTCCAGCCTGTGCGCGCACACACACACACACACACACACACACACACAAGCTGTACATTCATAAACACGTACTGTATGCCTGCACCCAGAGCAACAGTGGCACTAACAATCTGTTTTCACCATGGGGTCACACACTGCTGTGAGTGCAAATTTAAACCGGTAAGTCCCCACAATGGTACATGTTTTGGGAACACCATCATATTTAACAACATGCGCTCGGTTGCCAGTTAATTAAGCCCAGCAATAAATTGTAACTTCACAAAGTTTATAATTTCTTTTGTTGAAACAGTTGTAGAGATGTGTTGATTAAAAACTGTGCTGTTGAATTGTGTTGCATTATTTCTAATATTTTGTAAATCCTATTTATACATGTATGAAACACCTTTCAGTAAAACACAACCCAGTTCATCAGCACTGTAAATTACAGCCTCCAAAATGATCATGAATTAAACCAAACTCTCTCTAAAACAGTTTAAATAAAAACTGAACATGTGGAAGTAGGATTTATTGCAGGGCCGTAAAACTGCATTATTTGAATGTACTCTGACTCAAGCTGCCTCACAGTTGTCTAAAATGAAAGCCATTAGCAGAAAGGAGCACAAGAACACTCAAAGTAACTTTGTAAAGATAATAAAATCCTACCAGAACAAACCCGTAAAACCTCATATTGACTAAAGATTTAGGTTTTATGTGAGTTACAATCCGCAGATCTGCACCGCTGCGATGCCGTGGGAGTATCGTCTGACACTGGAAACGTCTTACTGTTATGAGGTGAGGTGTCTTCACCTCTGTAATCTCATCAAAACGACAAAAATGAAATGAAGGTTTGTTGTTAAACTACCCGTGTATTGGACATCAATCTTCATGGAGAAGAAGTGATAACCACAACAACAACAGCATCCATGTATTACCGACCCGAAAAAGAAATGTCTTTAATAAAGGCACAGGTGGAGTCTATAAAGTCAGAAAAGGTGGTAATGTGATGTAGTGTGTGTATTGAAATGCAGCTTTGGTTGAATGTAGGGCAGTACCACAGCACCCTCTGGAGGACAGAACAATATAACAGCTGGGAAATAAACAGTAAATGATCCTTATACATTGTGGAGTTAATGAAGAAAGACTCCTTGCTGCTCCATCCACAGAAACAGGAAGCAGTGAAAGCATTGAGGTCAGTACTATTACATGTAATAAGTCTTCCTCTGTCTCCTTTGCTCTGCTGTCCTACAGGTACCTGAAGCCTGACGAGAACAAAAAGTCAAAGCACAAGACTGCTGTGAAAAAGAAGACGCTCAATCCCGAGTTCAACGAGGTACAAACCACATCTACTGCGCTGTTTTCTTCTCCCGCATAAGTTGATGGTTTGTCTGATGCTTTTACGTGCTGAGCCAACCTCCATAACCCGGGGGGCTACGAAAAGCCATTCAGAGAGGGCACGGCTGTCAGATTGAACTGAAGCACATTTTTCTTACTTCATCACTGGATGACTTTTCCAGAGAGTTGTGGAACTGAAGCTGTAAGCTGGATGTTGGTAGAATATGTCGCTAAAGCTGTCCTCAGCCAAGTGTTTGTTACTGAAGGTGTAGCTCAGGTGCTGGGCAATCTTCTTCTATCATCCACTGTAAAGATTGGGATTGTTAGATGTGTCGACGCAACAGCCTTGAAAACATACGAGTCGTGCACACACATTTCTACCAAAGTTTAAACAGGGTTTTGGTCGTTTCTGTATCCGTGTTTTTGGTTTCATCTGGGAAAAGGATGATGTCTCTGCAGGATTTTTTGCAAAACTGGAATCAAAACGTGATCATAATTGTGGGGGAGTTTCTCGCAGTCATGTCTTTCAAGCCACACCCACACAGCCCTGACTGAGCAGATAAACTGAGTTTATGTCTCTTATGTTGTTGCTTATCCACTCATGAATATTTAATATATAGAGACAGAAACTTTTTGAAGATTTTAAGGAGCTTTAAAGCTGCACTAATCAGTTTATTTTTTTTATTTAACAATGGGAGGAAATTACCACATGTGATGTGCTGCTCAATAGTGACAAACACACATAATTACTAGATGTTAAAATGCTAGAGTTATCACCAACCCCACAGTTCCCCTCAACTCTACAGAGTGTTTTAGCATCTTTGAGCTGCCAGAGCAGCTGAGTCTCACAGCTGAACGACTCGTTGAAAACCGAAATGATTGATTGTAAATACTGTTGGAATTACAAATGCATTGCCAGAGTCCCTGAGGACCCGGCCATGTTTTGCAGAGAGGATGCCAAACATGTTTTCAAGGCTGTTCAGGCCCCTCGGTGCTCCGTGGCACAGGGTAGCTTGGCTCGGAAGTACCCGCCTGTATACGAGGGGACGGCCCCGGCCAAACGCTCACACAGGCCAGCGGCTTGACATTTCCGCTGACATTTTTTGCACCCGTATTCCTCCGTCACCTCTTGGCCTTTCTGCCAGAGACGAGCAACGGGGGTCTTCCTCCATATCAAGGCATTGATTTCATTAAGGTGGAGCAGCAATCTTGATTGAACTGCAGATTGAAATGGAAAAATAAATGCTTCCACTCTGCACAGTGCAAATTGATATAAGAAAAAAATGCTAGTTTCATTTAGTGGACAGTGTATTTTATTGATTACACTGTCATTCTGTTAATGTACCCCTTATTTCCTCTGCGGTCCAATCTAGATACTTCTGCCACTTGTAGTGAAGTGAATGAGTCTGTGCGAGAGTCCTGATCCTGATCTCCGAGAGTCAGAAAAGGCAGCAGTCATTAGCCTGCGTACTATTTTAGGCACCAACAAAAAAAAATTAAAACTCAATGAGGCGCTCAGAATTATGTGAATCAGTTTCACCAGAAAATAAAACAAATGTCAGTTGCATTCAGCTTTGTGATGATAATTATGGAAACCCAACACCGTGCAGAGGAGTGTTTTGTTGTGAAAGTGGTGAAGCAGAATCAGACTCTCATTCAACACGTTCAAGACCTTTTAAACCCACAAAGGCTTCAGCCGTCGTGGTGATCTGAAAAGATGAGATTGTAATTGTAATTGTATGTGATCATACCGGAGAGAGGAACTACTGGAGCTCTCATTTTCTGCTGTTCTGCTCTCTGTAGGAGTTCTGTTATGACATTAAATATGCAGACCTCACCAAAAAGACCTTGGAGGTGACTGTGTGGGACTACGACATCGGCAAGTCCAACGATTTCATAGGTAAGCACAGGGTGGGTGCGCTGCTTTCATCAGAAATGACGACAGTGTGAGATGAGTTCAAATAGCTCCGCTGATAATTCCTCGGCATCAGCAGCACCACTGGCCGTCTGTTCGGTCCGAGCCTGCTCAGTGTTTTGGCCCTTTGCTGGGCCGGAGGCTGAGAAACAAACAAGCCCTGAGCCGTGCTGAGAACTAGCTGGACTACCATCATTTTCTCCAGGTCAATTTGAACATCTTGCACTGATGGCCAGACCTGAGGCAAAGCGCTCACCCTGCAGTTAGTAAGTGATGTTTTAGTGAAGTTTTTATCCCGCTTAAAACCATGAGAATGACACAAATAAAGGAACAGGATGGGAAAATAAGCCGCTTTGTTTTGGAAAATAATCTTAACTAAAGCCACAGAAACTGTCCTCTGATGAAGAAGACCATTAGATGCTCTAGGAAAAACTAATAAGTGGACCTTGAGTCAAGATTGTTTTGCCATACTCTTAAGAACTGATTAGCGTTGTCATGAGGACAAATCATCATCATCATTCCTCTGAGACTGATAATCGATGTCATTTCATTCATTCATCCTGACACTTGTGCTCATGCTACGTCTGTTGGGGGGGAGGGGGGGGGGCTTGATGCATCTTTGTGTTCACTTTCCTGTTGTTGTTTTGGATGGATTATGTTTGTAGCTAGGAAGCTTGCTAGCTGTGTAGCTAGGAAGGTGACGTCGATATCATGGCTTGAGAAAAACTGGACCTCTCACCGAGCCGTCCGACTTCCCACTGGAGAAGAAAATAATCGAATGATAAAAATCCTCTCGATTGCTCCATATTTTTGTTGGACCAAATGGATCCAACTGTGACTATACAGAGTCACATGTTAATGCAGTAACGGGCCTGCTCCACATTCCTAATCCGGCCTACTTCTGAGTTCTGATTGGTCGACAGCCATCAAGAGACGCAACACAAGAACCGTTTGAGGTTTACCATCCCTGTCGTTTTGGAGACTTTTTTACATTTTGAATATCCAGTCTGTAGCAGTTGTCTCTATCTGTCGACCCACTAAACCCCACAGCAACTTTCTGTCTGAGTTTTCTGATCTTATGTTGATTGTTCTCATAAATTATGAAAGGATTATTTTACTGGGTGATTTTAATTTTCACATTATTAACAACACTGATTCAAAAGCTTGTTGTTTGGTAACAAGTATAGAGTTCCACCCACCACTGCTGCAGAAATAGATATCTCCTTGATCGAGTTAGTAAGTTTATTTATATAGCAACTTTGAAAACATCTCGAGTTGACCCTAAGCGCTTTACTATCGCGGCACATGGATTAGTTTTACAAGTGAACATAGATGAAGGAATAAATTGTGCTCAGATAAAATCAGAATCAATGCAGCAGAAATGAGAGATAAAAGAGAAACAGTACAATAAAACCAACAACAGATTAAAATGCATCAGTGATGTTCCTGTTCCACAGCAGGGCACAGCGTAATGTTTGTGACATCAAATATCATCATTATTCATTCAAAACACATCCTCACTTCATTGAGTATTTAATGTCATATTAACTGACCTGTTGTCAGTGAGTAACACGCCTCATAGATCACGTGGAAGTCATTAATAATAACAAATTAATACATTTATGGAAAATCCCTTTGGCTGCTGTTTATTCTCCTCTAGCATGATTGTTGACTTCACCTGCAGATGCAGCATCTTTAATTCCATCCCTGTTTTCAGCTGCTATGAAAACATTACAATGATTTTGTCATGTGACACATTACAAACCTCCCTACATGTTTAACTGAGAGCTCTGCTCATTGAATCATCCCGTCTTTGTTCTCGTCTTTCAGGTGGCGTATCTCTGGGTATCAATGCAAACGGAGAGAGGCTCAAACACTGGTTTGACTGCCTCAAAAACAAGGACAAGAAAATTGAGCGCTGGCACACGTTGACCAATGAATTACCTGGTTCTTTAAATGACTGAAGACCCGCATCCTGTCCTGTCGTCCAACCAGTTGCCGCCGCCCCCCCCACCCCGTCCCTCCGTTCCTCCCTGGCTGCACCAGATCAGACTCCTGCCTTCATTTTCCTGACTCCTCCACTCAGCTCTTCTTCTCTGGAGTTTTTCCTCATGTTGGCCGCAGCGACCTGTGACACTTATCTTTGGGAATCTATTCCCTCTCAACAGGGCTCAACTAGAAAAAATATCCAAAACCTTATGCTTGTGTTCCACAACACTTTCACGTATACAATAGGATTTTCACGTCTTTTATTTTACTTTAAAGAGAAATTCAAACAACCAAATCAATCAAAGGGGTCGGTGGTGAATTTCCAAGCCTCATAATTCTGTATGATCAGTGAAGAAAAAAGGAGCAAACGCCTTCGATTCAATTAGAGCTTGTACAGCAGTTAATAATTTACCAGTGATTGACCTGAAACAGCACAAATAAAGCCTGTGGCTGTGAAGTAAAACAGAACTTTAAAAGAGTAGAGATCCTAACAAAGGATGTAGCAGCATTTCATACTGTTGGAGTGTGCAGAAAAGTTTAGTGGAACAGTTGTCATCTTCTCAAGCAAACCCTCCATGTTCAGTCTGCTTGACACTAATATTTAGTGTCGTTGAGGAGCAGCTGAAGAAACGAATCGACCGCACATTTGAAGGTGTTGCACTTCAACACGATCGTAAAACCGCTGGGTAGCGCAGGTCCCGCTGTCGTTCACCCCTCGAGTAGGTGGCTCCCACGGCAACAAGAAGTTTGTTTTCTCCTGTAGTTTCAGTCATCCGGCCACGTGAGAACAACGTCATAGGAACAGAGAACCTCCTTAAAGTAATTATTATTTATTAAGCCCTCAGAAGGCTTCAAACAAACAGCGTTTGTGCTGCCCGATCGAGACGGCGCGTCCAAACAGCTTCATCTGTCAAACATGAACGTTGTGTTCAAGTGACAAACACCTCTAGCAGCTGCAGGAATTATGAGTCCTGTCCACCGAGAGCAAAAGGTAATAATGACGTTATTATGTCCAAACCAAACCAAATGTAAATACAGCAGTTTCCGGAAAGGCACTGACATATTATGTGGCAGTGCAGACGGGTGTCAGACTGTATCAAACAGAATGTACAGATGCTTATACTGTAAGTACTTTGCCATTTAATTTGCAGGATTTGTTGGTCTGACTGCATCTAAAGGCAAAAGTGTTAAAGCTTATTCTGAATATTCACACTGGAAGGAGAAAAGGTCTGCAGTCATAGCCTCCTCCTGGTTGCATCGCACTACCTCCCCCGTCCGTCTCCTACAACTGTGTCTTTTCTTTCTGTAGCCTTGACACCATGAATCGTACAAATGGATATAACTTCTGCATAATCAGCATCACCAAAACACCAGACCAGATGTATCGTAGGTAATCGGGCTCGAGGAGACTGCTACGTTTACAGTTTTCCACTCACTGTGACAGAGAGCAACGATCCCATTCAGCAGAAAGTTTCCAGCGGAGACGTCCTTGTGAGATTTGATTAGGTTTGCAAAAGGAAACACACCGTCACTCTCCATTCAGTATCTCCATAGCTGCCGAAGCCCCAAAATACAGTTGCATTTTTAAGGAGGAACGAATCAGCTACTGTGTCTACAGACTCTTACCATAACCCCTTAACACAGCATTATACATCTGCCTTTAGATGAGACAACAAGCATTTTGTTTCAAATATACCGAGGCCTTCACTCCTTTAGAGGGATATAGCTCCATAATCAGACAAAACAACCCCCAAGATGCAAGGCATTATGGGTATGAGGAGATGGATGTTGGTAGCTTAACTTCTACTAGAGGATTTCAGGACGACCGATGGCCCAGTAAGCAAACTGTCTGGCCGGTGTCAACTGAATAAACCAATGCAAAAATCAACTTCACATAAACTCCTCCTCAAGGCTTCATACAGAAAGTATTCATGACATTACAAACACCGATTCCCTGTGTGTCTCTGTGTAGACAAATCAATATGAACTAGGTGTCAAGGCGCCACCTACTTGGATTACTCACTGATTTTTTTCAGTGTAACCCCTAAACTACAGAGCTGCCTAGTGTGGTCATCCTGACCTGATCGCAAGTGTTTCGTCCGTTCAGTTTCCAGACTACAAAACGCCGGTTTCTTCTCTAACAGTGAATAACTAAATCACATATGCATTTTGAAGTTTAACTCAAATTTTTGGTGAATCAAAGGGCACAAGGCCGCAGTGTTGTTTTCGATCAGCTGGCTGCAAGTCTGTGGTCGAAAGTGATATTTACTCGCGTCTTATGAGAGAATGCAGAAGGGCAAGATTGAATTTCTAATGAAATGGCCGTGCACAGTGTTCGCAGGGTGCCACCGAGTCAAACTGGAAGAAAAGACGGTGAGCCAAAGGAGTGCAGTAGCTGCTGTGAGCCTGTGTTCGTTCAGGAGCCGAAGAGAGGTCATGGATGTAAAAGCAGATCTGTATATGCACCTGATAATTCTGATGATCTGTGGATAATTTCAGCACAGAGGTGGAAACATTCGCCCTCGCTGTGCACGGTAATCACGCAGCCTTATTTTTGCTGTGTGGAAGGGAGAGAGCCTGCTTGATGGAGACCGTCTGTAATCAACAGCGGGGTGAAGTTCAGTGTGTGACCCGCCTGGTGAAAATCACTTGTCGAACCACAATACCACATGATTGAGCAGCTCTGTGATGTGCGTGCGCTCAGCTTATTGTTTACACTACAGAAAATGAGTTTCCACACACACACACACACACACACACACACACACACACACACACAAAAACCCAGCAGGCGGCGTTTTCAACCGTAATGTGGATGAAAATGTTCCTGCTGTATGTCAAAAGGGCAAAATTTTAAAAGCGGAAAGTTTACGTCAAATACACACAAACAAACAAACAAACAAAAAAAACCAACAAAAAAGAAAAAAAAAAGAAAAGAAAAAAAAATACTTGTACTAATAAAAAGCATGTATTGTTTACAACAACAGCCTATTCTTGCTGAAGTTCAAGTTTGCTGCTGAAAGGGCAAACACGCCCTCGCTGAAGTCACTGCGATTGTTCACTCGTGCAATGCAAGCTTTGCTGAGGAGGGCCGAGGTGAGAAGGGCAGAATTTTTAATATACTAGCCGTGTGCGTATATTGTTTCTATGTTGCTGCATACATTTTGGATTTAGATTTTTTTTTTGTTTGTTTGTTTGTTTTTGTTTGTTTTTGTTTTTTTTTTTTCTTATTGTAAGCAGCTCCACTATAAATGTATCAAACAGAATGTACATGTTTAACCCTTTCTACTCCACAGTAAACCCTCTGAGAATGTGCGCCTTAGTGCTCTGTGTTGTTGATATTGTTCATATGTCAGGTCTCAAGTTCTGTAATCGGGCACACACACACACACACAGACACACACACACACACACACACACACACACATATATCTGGGAATAGCGTTGGTTGAACTTGCATCCCAGGAGCAAACTACTTGTCAAACACTAAGATAACTAAAATTTTCCTTTTAGTCTGTTTAATTATCTATGTTCTTTTTTCTTTCTTTCTTTTAATATTTTATGTTCAGGTCTGTGCCCCCCCCCCCCCCCCCCCGAGTCCCCTGTGGCAGTCTGAAACACGTACTGAACCTGAGTTGCCCTCACGGACCAGTAGGCTGGGATGCATGCCATGTATTTGTGATTTTATGAGTTCGATTCTGCAGTATAACCTTTTCCGCATGCCCCCAACCCCCGACACCAACCTTTTCTCCTGAACCTCCACCGTGCGCTGACTGGTAACACAGAAACGCCACACAAATCAGTCCTCGCGTAAACGTTCAGGATTCCCGTCAGGCTCAGCTAACGGCTCTTTGTCACGACCTCACGTCGCTGCGAGTGATAGGCCGGGCATGTTTGTTTTTAGGGGCATGTCGACTCTGTTTTTATGATCATCATCATTTAAACTCGCTAATTACAGTTGGTGGATGGTCACAAACAGCCCCAGTGTCTGTGTTTTTAATATTATTACCTTCTGAACCTGTAGTTTTATTGTTGACATAGTGTTATATTGTTTCCTTTTCACACCACATCTCATTCATTTTGAAGAAACTTTGACTTTGATAGCTGATATTACGCCTTCAAAGCTGGGAAATGAAATGTTTAACGCATCATATCAGGCCTCACATCTTAGTTTTCTTTAAGTGTTAACAGCCTCTTCCGCCACATTGATTTGTGAGGCACAAAGCGGCTGTGAAACCTTGTTGGCATCTCAATAAACTCCTTGACACAACAGTGGTCTCTCTCTCTCTCTCTCTCTCTCTCTCTCTCTCTCTCTCTCTCTCTCTCTGATGAATATGTAATGAATACAACCAACGTGTGATTTTGATTTTGTAATATGTCTGCCTTTGTATGCAAGCTCAATATTATGGGGAAAAAAACAAAACAAAATCTGCATGCATCTGTTCTTGGTTTTGTCATGAGATGACTTTGCCTAATGTTTGATACTGTTTTCTGTATTTAAAAAAAAACAAAAAACAAAACACACGACTGTGGATGCTCTAAGATTATGCTATAAGTCAGTCTTTCTTCTGGACAACATTTTGTACCTTTGAACACTATCGCATTGCCTGTTTGGCTGCTGTATTGACTATCTGGAAGCGTGACTTGATGTGAATTAAAATCTCTCCTTTGTTGTTTTGTTTCCTTTTTAACACTCAGGCACTTGTTTGCATTATTCTGGTTTGTTGAATGTATGACTATAAATGATTGTCCCAAATTATATTTTAGTCCTATGCCAAATGGACAGGTATCTGTGCCTTTCTTATTTCTGTTTCTGTGTTTTTGCACCACACGCTTTCAAAGAAAAAACATGCGACTGTAGGCAAAACACCGTTAGATACTCTCTTCCATAATGCTGAAGCCTCACTTATTTCTGCACACCGTGGTAATTAATAACGATGGGAGACGTAGCGAGAACACGGATCAGATTATTCGT